CAACGAACTTCATTATGGGCTATCGCACTCCAAATCGTTGGCTCTTTCATTTGGGCAAACCTTGTTACTGGCAGGCACCTTTGTCAATACAATGGTCCTGGATAATGGCACTCTTATCTTGGATACCCTCCAATACACCCATTTTAATCAGACCCCTTCCCCATAATACATATACCAATACGGTCTCTACCTATTTATCCCATAGTCAATGGGATTTTACTTCCCTCCCGTTTGAACTACCGACTCCGCTGCTCCAGAATATTTTTAGTATACATATCCCCTCGACTCCTACGTTTGGCCATCACCAAGCATGGGACCTTCACCACCAAATCACTCTACCATCATTTACTTTCGTCCCTCTCTAGAAACTCTTTCACATGGATCTGAAAGCTTCGGCTACCTCCAAAAATTAAACATTTTCTCTACCTCTACAGCTATCATCGCTTCCCCACTGCTGCATATTATCATCATCTCGGCATACTAAACACAAATGTTTGTGCCTGATACTGCACTAGTCCAGAAACTATTAGACATTTCCTCCTAGAATGTCATGCAAACACACAAATTTGGGTTGACCTACAAATGCTCCAGAAACTTGTTGGACTCCAGGGGATTGACGACTCCTCTTCAATGGCTACAACAACTTATCTTACACACTGATATTCCAAATTCCTTGAATATCCCTAATTCATTCTCATACCGTTGGTTAGCTCGAAATGCCATAGTTTTTCGCTCACCTAGAAAATCGCTTTTTTCCTCTCATATCCTCAACACAGTGGCCGGATTCTTCCATATTGCTGTTTTACCAACGTTCTCACATGGTCGTATACCCGTACAACTTCAATAGCACCCTCACCCTGATGGTTAAGCCCATTTAGATACCGGCCAGGGCGGGATTGGCGGTCTCCTATGTGACTTCACGGGTAACTGGCTCATCGGCTTTTCAGAACATTTTCTCATGGGAGTGTTGAAAGTTGAAACTGAACTACGTGCACTATATCATGGATTGCAATTGGCTTATAACCATGGATACAAACCTCTCGAAGTGAACCAGACGCTCAAACAGCAGTTAATATATCACAGACCTCACACCCTTTTTATGCTAATCTTATATATATGCAAAATCTATGGCCAAATGGGTCCCTAACAATTTCAAGGAACTAAAATGCATGAATATCACTTCTTAAATAAAATTAATAAAAGAAGTCACGTTAGCAAAAAAAAGAAAACTGTCAAGATCCAAAAAAGAAATAGATAAAGAGAAATAAGTTGGCCGGAAATAAAGAATTCCAACAAAGCTTAACCTTTCCGGCAATATCACAAGAAATAGGATGAGGAGCATGCTTGGCTTACAAGATCGTCGAAAAAGTGTCTCATCACGTGAATACTCACCCACATCTAGTGTTTGTGCCAAATCACATTAATTTATCAAGGTTAAGTATTAAATATTATATGACACGTATATGTATATTTATTTCGTATAAACATCAGTCATCAGGTATGAATAAATTGTTCAGCATGTTATAGTCATCCTAGACGAGCAGATGAATGAGCAATGAATATGTGAAGGATTGGGACTAATCACTATTATGATCAGTTTGTTTAGGTAAGTGAGAAAAAGCATTAGCTTTGGAGACTTTAGAAAGATAGCTCAGGGTATGTATGTACATATTGCTTTGAATGTTACTATTTGTAGATTGTGTTTTTGCGCAAGATGGTCCACTAAAATTAGACTTGAAAATCTCACACCTTACCAATAAGCTTTGAGTCATTGGATGTTAATCAATAAAATATTTTCTTTGATAGAAATATTTCACCAAAAGGGGAAATTAACTTCCAACTGCATATGTTTTCAATTAGGCTATTTCCAACCCTTGCCTCCATTTTCTTCTCCAAAATAAAGTAAACTTCAAAATGGAATAATTTACTCCAACCATTACTTTATTTTTTATTCCAAAAAAGAATATTCTATTTTATATTCTTCTCTCTCTTTAATATTATATTATTATCTTTTATTTAAATTTTATTTTCTTATTTCTATTAAAAATCCTATCTTTTTTTTTTTACATATTTATCACATATAATTTAATATAAAATTATATTATACCATAAATTTTTAAATAATATAATTTGTAAAAAAATATTATAAATAATATGTATTAACGGATAATTCAAATAAAAGTGAAATCATTGAGATATAAAATAATTAATTACATATTACATTATGGTAAAATTCAAATTAAATATTATGGAAACGACATAGGTCCCTACTAATTTATTATGCTATTTACCGTAGTTTCAATTTTTATATATTTTAATTTAATATATTTTTAATTTTAATGTATTTCAATTTTAATGTATTTTCATTTAATGTATTTTCAATTTCACTTTTTAGTTTCAGCAACATATAATATTTTATATTCGCACCTTTCAGTTTTAGCAACATCTAAATATTTTATATTTGCACCATTCATTTTTTGAGATGATTATATATTTTTTGTACAATTATAACTTATAATAAAATTAACTTACAATTTTACATAAAAATAATAAATGCATGAAAATTAATTTATCAAAATTATACACCAAAGTTAAGATGTAAAATTAAAATTATAAAGATATTACATAAACATAATTAGGTATAAATAAAAAAATAAATTAAAAGAGTTAAATAATAAAAATAATAATAAAGTAATAGCGAATAACAATGGAAGAGATGAATAGTGTCACTACAAATTTAGAGTAACACTATTCATCCCCATTTTGCCGTCACAAATGGGAGAGCATTTGAGCTAAATTTCTCCAAAAGCTTACTGCATTTTGGAGAAATGCAGCAGTGTTGGAGATGCTCTTAGTCACTTCAACTAGAGTAATATAATTTTTTTAAATGTTTCAATTGTTGGATTATCTTATATGGCATTGAATTTGATTGAGTCAAAAAAAGTAGGTGAGATGTATACCAATAAAAAGAGTGAATATAGCAACTTTAATTAAATAGTAAATTAATAACTTTATGTCAATTGATATGCAGTCAATCCCAAGAAATGAAAGTTAGTTTGCCATATGCTTCTTCTTCTCTTGTTCAAAATCTTTCTCTTTTCCTCGGAAGCAAACCCAAAAATATATCAAGTGGAGAATAGAGTACAAGCATATAGAGGCTTCAATCCCTAGGTTAAGGGGTTTCAAAGAGCTTCTAGAACTCCTAAACCCTATTTATAGCAAATTTTAGGTTTAGACTTGCTTATAATAGTCTATGGCCAGAGCCCATTGACACTTATGAATACAACATATGTTTATAACAACTATTATAGGTGGAGGTGTATTCGGGGTTTGAAGAAGATGGGTGTACTATTACGAAAAGGTGGATTCAAAATTTACTTTTGACGAGTTCAACATTTAGGTTCTCACCATGAACTTATTATATATTTGAAATTGTAAGATCAAAATTATTATTATTATTATTATTATTATTATTATTATTATTATTAGTAGTAGTAGTAGTAGTAGTAGTAGTAGTAGTAGTAGTATTTGCAAATTTGGTGATTTTTTTACATATGTATCTATATTTCGTATCGAGAATATCAGGATCAATTAAACCCATTAAATATGGGCATTCAATTTAATTATTTAACAATGACGCAAAAAGAATAGAGATTAAGTTCTAAAACAAGAAACAAAAAATGTTCTAACTTCTCTCTAGTTTCTCTTTCTAACCACGAGCTCACCGGCGCACGTTAGTCTAACGGGCGACCACCGAGGAAATGGTCAGGGGAAGAGGAAGACCAAAACGACTACCTGTAGCTGGAGGTGGAAATCTAGCTGAAGTTGAAATACAGACTGTGAAGGACCTAGTGACTACTATTCCATTGGATGGCGATCAACATGCAATTGAGGAATTAGTACAAAGCAAAGCTAAGGGGAAGGAATTGAGTGTAGATCCAAGTCAAATTGAACAACTGAGTGAGAAAGATCCAGATCTGGCAAGCTCAAGCAAAGCAGCAATGGATCGAGAAGCAGTAATGGAGGAGAAAGGTGAGAAAACTCTGTGGACCTCTCTGTTTGCAGGAAATAGGAGCTCGGAGAATGGATTGAAACTGAATTATGTACCACCTGTCATTGTAGATGGGAAAACAGTGGTTCAATTAGAAAAAGAGGATGTAGAAAAGGAAGTAATGAAGTGGAGAAGTGATTTAGTTGTGTATGTAATTGGTGAAACTCCTGGTTACAACTACATGCATAGATATGTGAAACAAAACTGGAATCAAGTTGTTGAACCAGAAGTTTTCTATCATGATGAAGGATACTATATGGTTAGATTTAGCAATATGAGTGATATGAATGAGATATTATACTCTGGGCCATATACAATGAATAACAAACCTCTAATTCTGAAACCTTGGACTGTTAACTTTGATTTCAATAAGGAATTTCTGACTGAAATTCCTTTGTGGGTGATTTTACCTAATTTGCCTATGAGTTGTTGGGGAGTGCAGTCACTAAGCAGAATTGCCAGTACAATTGGCAAACCACTGTACGCAGATGAATGCACATCAAAGCAAAAGAGAATTTCCTATGCTAGGATGTTAATTGAGGTTAATGTCACAAGAGCTATGCCTACCAGTGTTACTGTATGGGAGCCAGGTGGAAGACAATTTGACCAAGAAATTGCCTATGACTGGAAGCCTGAATTCTGTGAAACTTGCTTNGTTAAAAGGATAACGTTCATGGACAGCGTAAAAAATTATCTATGCTGGAGAATTCACTAGTACAGTCTGTGTTGTTTGGATTTCAGGCTTACTGGTCTACAACTGTTCTTAAGTTTCTAGTAAGGTGCTTAAAGCTATTGAAGCATACTGTAGGAGTTATATATGGTCTGGTGTCAATGTGATTAAGGAGATCTCTGGTGGCATGGGAGAAGCTGTGTCTCCCTAAGAGTGATGGTGGTCTAAATTTGATCAATTTGAGGATATGGAACTAAAAACTACTGGGATCTAGCACATATGGGTGATAAAATGTGGATCAAATGGATCCATGAATACTATATAAAGGAACAACAGCTGACTACTACGAAGATACCACAGCAAGCTTCATGGTTAGTCAGGAAAATGATAGAGGCAAGAGATGAGGTTGAAGCAATACAGAGGCCAATGGAAGGGAAATGTAGCACAATAAGACAATTATACTTGATTATGCTGGGCCAACAACCACGAGTTGAATGGAAGATGTTTATGTTCAGGAATGAAGCAAGGGCAAAAGCAAAATTCACAATGGGGCTATACTTCCAAGATAGGATGATGACCAGTGATAGGCTGCATAAATGGGGAATACAGGTTGATAAAGAATGTGTTATGTGCAAAGTACATGAAGAAACCAGGAACCACATCTTTGTGGAATGTGAATACACTAAGAGGGTATGGGGGAAACTGTTAAAGTGGATGCAGAAGCAACCATCTTGGCAAACAGAATGGAACCAGCACTGGAAGTGGGCTAAGGAGAATGCAAAGGGGAGATCGACTAAGGCTGGAATTTTCAAGATGGTGTATACTGAAGTTATTCATGCAATCTGGAATGAAAGAAATTACAGGATTTTCCAAAAGCAAAACAAAGCAGCTGAGGAGTTAGCTAGGAGAATTGCTTATGTATGTAAAGTTAGAGCAACTAGAGTAATAGACAAATGATACAACAATATATTTTTAAGGTATAAATAATAGAGATATGAGGAGATATAGAAATATGTATAGGGCAGAGAGACTAAACAGTTAGACAGTTGATTTTGAAAATCAGCTGTGGCTATGTAAAGAATTTCATGGTGATCAATAGAAAATTTTATTTACCAAAAAAAAAAAATAGAGATTTTAATGTGCTAGAATTGGGTATTTTGAAAAAGAAAAAAAAAACAAAGAAAAAAAGGATAAAAGACCAAAAGTACTTAAATGAAACGCATGAGGAAATACAAGAAATGTCCATTCCCCGCGGGTGGATCTAATCCTTAAAAAAAGAGGAGAAAATAATAAAACAACATGAGATTTGAACCTTCGGGTTCAATTATAAAAAGAATAATAAGAGAAAAATAACGAGATAGACGCATAATCTAAAACTTCGACTTTATTTGTAAATGTGCACACAATAATTATTACATCATAGGTCCCTTTATGCTTAAGTGTGTGCGCGCGCGCACATATACATAAGTAAAATATTTTAGGAATTTTTACCTCCTATAGCAAAGGTTAACACCTTATTTATTTTAAATAAATACCATTATAGAAATTATATTCTATCTATAGATACCTCTTAATGTTTATAGCAAAATATCTAATTTTGGTTACCTCCTACCCTTAAGCCACTAAATATGCTATTCAGTTACACTATTTTCTTTCTCTCTCTACTTTGATACATGTCATTCTCTTCCCCATTCCCTGAAAACACGATGTTCAATCTCAAAATTCCTCTCACCCACGTCTTAGTCGTAAACGGTGCTTTTGCCTCTTTCTCTTCTCGTATTTCTCTGTGTTTTCAAGCGTCTTGATTGGCTTGTGAAGTTGCAACTTTCTTTCCTACGTTGGTGGCTTCTGTTACACATAGAAGGGGTGTTTGCTTAACGTTAATCCCAGGGATTGAATCTACGTTGTAATTTGTGGTAACGGGACTGCATAAAAAAAATACTGGTATATAGCAACAACACAGAGGAGGTTTGTCATGTCAATGATATATATATGGAATTTTTACCTCCTATAGCACATACATACATGTTGGGAACAGTGAGATTCATGGTTTTTGCTCGGCGACGGATTCGCCAGAAATTAAGGTTTGTTCTTGAACAAAGACGACGGAGTTTGGGGCTGAGCAACTTGATTTTCTGTTAATATATTTCAATGTATCACGCTGTATTTTCATGTATTTTATTGTATTCATTGTCTTTTTTTTCATTGTAATTCAATGTATCTCGTTGTATTCCATGCATTTTATTGTATTCACTGTCTTTTTTTTTTATTGTATTTCAATATATCCCGTTGTATTCTATGTATTTCATTGTATTCACTGTCTCGCTATACGCCATGAATGTATTCATATGTTTTTTTTAATTAATATAATTTATGTATTCAGATGTATTATATAATTTCTCTGAAGATTGCTATGTTTTTGGGGTTTTTTTTCGGTTGAGAATCTTTTTATAACTGGAAATACAAAATTTGTGTGTTGTAATTGAGTTTGTTGAGTTATATTAGGAGTCTATTATGTTAATTGATTCACTTTCCGTTTAAAAACAATGTAATCCCCGGTTTCACACTGTGAATACAGTCGAATACAATAATCTGTCAAGCTGTAATCCCATATTTCACGCCATGAATATAGTCGAATACAACAACTGATTAGTTGGACTTCCCTGGTTCACGCCTATTTTTGCTACTGTATTCATGAATACAGTAGCTTAAATACATCTAATACATCTTATAAAGAAAACGTATCTACAATCCGTAATATAGCAAATGGTATCTATAGATAGCTAATTACCACTAAAAAATAGTGTTTTATGAAAATTTCTCAATATTTTATACATGGCCAAAGGAGTAGTATGGGTTCATGTGAACCCATATTTCTCCCTATAGATGGTCAAATTTTTATGGTAGAAATATTCGGGACCCCTCTAAACTTGCAAACTTTTGTTTAGTCTCCCCTTAAACATTACGTGGTCTTTAATTCCCCCTCTAAACCTAAAAACATAATAGCGATACCCTTGATGCTGGTGTGGCAAAGAGCAAGAATGCACTCTTTTTTAGGTGCGTGGGAGGGAAGAAAAATCAGCTTCTAAGTAGGATATTTTTCAAATATTAATTGTCACATAATCAATTATAATGGCTTATTTGTTCCGATTGTATTTGTCGTTATTTCTTCTTAATATACATTGTATATTTTATTTTAACTGTATTTTTTAGATACAACGAATATTTATTTTCGTTCTGTATCTTTTTTTCTCAGTCCAAATCTAAAATAGTTAGTTGAAACTCTATTTCTTTTGCCAAATAAATAGAAGGTTTAACCAAAGTAATGCAACTCAAATGGTGTACTTTCTACAAAAAGGTATTACTTATTTTTTCGTGCTATGACTATTTATTTAAGCTATGCATTATTCTTTATCGGGTCAAATTGGTAAAATATTTGGTTGGAATTTTATTGTTTTTAGCCGAAATATGAAGTTCCGACATCGTTTGTTTTTCTTTAGAATGAGCATATGTTCTAACTGTGTATTTTTTTTTACCAAATATATAAAAATAACTCGATTAAAATATTATTATCTTTATACAAATAAAAAGTTATAGTCAAAATAATATTGTTTCAATTTTTCTTTACAGATCTGGCACGAAGAATATAATTTAAATAATTAGTGGACTAAAGATAAAAATATACTATATTTTGTTGTAAAAAAATAGTACATGGACAAAAAAAATCATGTGGCAGCGCGTATGTCCCACTCCCATGTCAATGTTTAGGGGGTTGAGGCTATCAAAATGCCAAGTTTAAAGGGATATTATAGACCAAGTGAAGTTTAAGGGGAAAGTAAACAAAAGTTGCCAAGTTCATGGGGTCCCGAACTATCCTGCCAATTTTTAATTTTATTATACTTATTTATGACAATTTTTTACCTATAACATCAACCACTATCATTTAATGGTATACTCTTTGTAAAATTACCCCTATATAACTTTCTTACTCAAATAGTTATGTATTTACTCCCTCCATTTCAATTTAGATGCGGTAGTTTGACTCGGCACGGAGTTTAAGAAAAAAGAAGAAGACTTTTGAAACTTGTGGTCTTAAAAGCTTAATGGGTAAAAGCTTTATGGGCCATGACATTTGCGTGATTTTAAAAGCGTCTCATTAAGGATAAAATGAAGAGTTTAAAATTTGAATTATTTTTAAATTTATAAATATATCATTTATTTTGGAACAGGCTAAAAAGAAAAATACCTCATCTAACTTGAAACGAATGGAGTATTATTTATAATAATAAAATAGTAATCCATTAATTATGTCTTACTAACCACGTAATTTTAATAAATTTTATGAGTGTCAATGATGAAGTCTTACTGTTTGAAAGAGTTTCGATTTCATTTTGAAATTGGTGCCTTAGAGTTTACTTTTTGCCATTACTAGTCAGCAGCACCAACAGGCTCCACCTCTAGCCTTCACAATTCACCTTATTCATCACCAGTTCACCACCAACCGCCTTTAGCAAACTACTGTCGTACAAGCACCACCTATACCACTAGCCACCACTATCAGCCAACACGATGCATTCATCCACTACCTTAAAAGTTAAAACAACCACCACAGACTACAACTACGCTATCAGGATCACCAACCTCCTCTTTACCACCACGTTCCCAGCAACCACTACCTTCTAAAATCATCCCCACCATCACCAAGGCCAGCCATATTCGGTAGTAGGGGGTGTCAAATAGGTAGGTTAGGCCAATTTTGGGCGGGGGAAAATGAGCTGAGTCGATAAATGGGATCCGGCCAAAAGTTGTAGAAATAGCGTGGGGTAGTCACTTTTTAAGGTTGTATTTATTTTTTATCTAGCAATTCTAATGTTGAGCAAAAATAGCCACTACTCTATTAAAATTAATATGAAAAGACATTTTTACCCTTTCTTCCATTGCTATTCTTCCCAAACCCTCGCTTCTCTCTCAAGTTCGATACCCACTCGTTTTTCGTTTTCTTTCCGGGTGATATCCTAGTTTCAATTTTGTTTTCTTGCATTAGCAAAAGCTTGGCTGATCTGTTGCAGAAGATCAACAAAGCAATGGCTTCGCATGAGTGCTTCCCCAATGTGTAGAAACCTTTTGCTGCCGCAACTACTTGTAATGTCTTCCCATTGCATATCTTAATCTACAGAGAGTTTTGGCATCATCAAAATCCGAACAAATGCAAAACCAGAAGAAAAGAAAGAAAATAAGGTACCTGTAATTCGAAATAGTCGTCATCTCGCCTTGCTTTAGCATCGTTACAATCAACTCTTTTCAAAGATAATTGTGTTAAGGACGTGTAGTCCTGAAGTCCTAAAGTTAAATTCAAAAGTTAAGGACATGGTCTTGAACTTAGAGTTTCAAGTTCAAAAGTTAAGGAAATGTAGTCCTGAAGTCCTAAAGTTAAGTTCAATAGTTAAGGACACAAGTTCAAAAGTTAAGGACATGCAGTCCTTAACTTACAGTTACACGTTCAAAAGTTAAGGACAAGCAGTCCTTAACTTACAGTTACAAGTTCAAAAGTTAAGGACAATAGGTCCTTAACTTTGATTTACAAGTTCAAAAGTTAAGGACGCTTGGTCCTGAAGTTTGAGTTCCAAGTTCAAAAGTTAAGGACATGTAGCCTTGAAGTCCTGAACTTAGAGTTGCAAGTTCAAAAGTTAAGGACATGTATCCTTGAAGTCCTGAACTTAGAGTTCCAAGTTCAAAAGTTAAGGACATGCAGTCCTGAAGTCATGAACTTAGAGTTACAAGTTCAAAAGTTAAGGACATGTAGTCCTGAAGTCCCGAACTTAGAGTTCCAAGTTCAAAAGTTAAGGACATGTAGTCCTGAAGTCCTGAAGTTAAGTACAAAAGTTAAGGACATGAGCAGAAGGGTATTTTCGTCCGGGCAGTTAAAGTTTATTAAAGCAGTGGCTAAAGACTAAAGA